TACTTAACTTATTTAAATGCAACGCCTTGTTTGAAACTAGATAAAACTGGTTTATGTTCGGTTGTTGCTGTGTTCGATTATGTTCGATTGTTTAAGTGTTTGATTTCCGGACGTTCGATTCTGTCCTTGGGGTACTGCTGCCGGCCTCTCAGAGCCCCTAGCCCATTACAGTCTATTCTGTGGCCAATTATAGACCCCCATCTTAGTCACGTTTGGGCAATTATCTAATTTTCGTGATCCCAACTTAGTCACTTTCTATTTATGTATCTACCTTACATTGAATAAAGAACACTTTTCTTTTCACATACAGAACAACATTCCCGTACGTTTGCTAACCGTAAATATGAAAAACTGTCTTAAGCCTGCTTTTCACTAGCGCAAAAGCATAAGCACAAACACATGTGTAAGCAAGTGAAAACTGGGTCGACATAAGCGTAAACACAAGAAAAACGGACAAGTACGTTCTTCTTGTGCTTATGCTTATGTCCTAGCTTTGACTATGAGTGAAAACTGGGTCGACATAGATAAGCACAAGCATAAGCACAAGGCCGACTTGGACCAATCATAGATCACTTTGACCCAGACCTCATGCGAACATTTGAAAAGCAATATGGCGGACGCTTCGTCCGCCATCTTGTTTATCATTGGATTCAGGAGAGCTGGTATCGAGAATTGAGTCAAATATGCCATTCTGCGTGTGCGTATGTCTTTATGCTTATGGTTATGCGCTAGTGAAAACCAGGTTTTACCCCAAAAATCCGAAAATGTGCGACCCCATTCTAGTAATGCTATTGAAAACGCGAACCCATTATAGTCAATCCAGTCGTGAAAATCCCCATTAGCCTCTTATAAGGAAGTACCTCTCCCCCTGGATTGTGTTCAACTGGCAAATTGTTTAGGTGAGTTCGATTAAGTTCGATTACCGAACCCAATAGCAGTCAATCGTACAATTGGGAACGATTGGGTTCCATAACCGAACGTTCGAGTGACTACGCCGGGAGTATTGATTTACTGCGAATAAAGGAAACTACTCGACAAATGTAGTGACACGGAAAACTGCGCAAGATCGGTCAGTATTTTAAACAGCTCCGACGAGGAACGCAATAGGCCAGATTCTTTACCTATCGACTATTCCAAAGTGGAATTAAACTGGTTTTTTTTTTTCAATCTACCCTAGAACATTCTCACTTTATTGGCTAGCTTCCACCGCTGCCACTTATTGTTTGAAGCCTTAGTGACTGATGAGCAAAAATATTTGTAGACAAAAATCTTGGAAAGTTAACTAAAATTTAAACCCCTTTTTGTACGATTTTGTTTACCGATAATGTTATTTTCTAACTAAGGCCAGTTTAAAACTGACTGTGTATGCTTGCACAAATTTGATTTTGAATTTTTTGTAAAAATGGTGTTTCCCATGTCGGAATCGTTTCCGATGTTAGGTGTACAGATGTAAGCCCTTGTTAACTACCTGCAGACATTTTTAGCGATCAGAAATTATATATTTTTTTTAGGGAGAGCTCGGCTGAATTATTTCAAGCAATTTAGTGAATTCAACACAGCATCCAGAAGTTAAACTTAAAGGCAGGTTAGTCATTTACAAACCAGCATACCTTGTCGTGTATCTGGCTGCGTCCGATATTCTCTGCCTTAAACTCAAGGAAGTTATGCAGCACATTAACTACAAGGCTCAATAAAAACACACTAACAATTATAAATGCTTTCTTTTCACTTTGCGTTTTCTTTGTAGGGTGATCGTAATTAAGCCTGATTTTATTATATGAGCCGGGCTAGCCCTGATTGCCACTAGATCATGGAATAGTTGAGACTCCGCAGTTCAACTAGATGGCGTAATGTAAATCATCTCTAGGTTGATATAAGTTCAAACAATTTTCTAAAATTAATTTGTTATCTTTTGTGACTGACGAATGTGTGCTAAGAAACATGGAAACATGTTTAACAAATCGTCACATGTAAGGCAATCCGAGATTCCGGAATCCGGGAAATTGGGCTTGTGGAATTCGGAATACATGCAGCTGAAGGAAACCTGAATCCCACTTAAGATTGGAATCCAGAATACAAGATCCACTGAAAATGACAGGAATCCCGAGTACCTGGAATCCCGGTGGAATCCATGTCGTGGAATCCAGAATCTAAGACTGTGTTGGATTCCCTTACATGGGGCAAAACAAGTAAAAAAAAGATCGCGATTCGTTTTAAAAGGATTGCGATTAACTGCTTTCTCTTAAGTTTGTCCCCGTGGAAAAACTAGAGGATATATATAGAACATATCCAAGCTACAGGATTATTCTTTCTTACCATTTCTCATCTTGTAACAAAATTTATTTTTTAATTTTTCTTTCTTTGTTACTTCCAGTTTGATTCACCGAGGTGAAGGAGCTAAAAAGAGGAGGGGAAAAAAAGGAAATTTGCCGGAAACGATTGTAAGTGCCTCACATTTAAACAATGTTCAAACTGCACCAGATATCTTTTGCGCCGGCACGGAAACCTTCTGTTCACGCATAAGAACAGTGATTTCGGCCCGAGTTTTGTAATGGAGCGACGCTGCGCCGCGCCGATCTCTCAACTGGAGAGCTGTAAAAGCTATTCAGTATAGTGTGAACAGAGCCTCATTTAGCAATCATTACCCTTAAATAACAATAATAATAATGATAATAATAATGATAATAATAATAATAATAACAATAATAATAATAATAATAATAATAATAATAATAATAATGATAATGATAATAATGTTATCCTTGGTCAGAATCGACCAAGGATAACATCAGAAGTAGAGTGACCTCTACTTTACAATCAGCCTCATTACCGAACAGTAACTTGACTCCTGACGAACAGAAAGCACGTAAACGACTGAAAACAGACGAGAACATATATAGTCATACTGCCCGCAGACAAGGGACGGGTGACTGTTGTTGTGGATAAGACAGACTACAACGACAAAATGGACTCGATGTGAAGTATATGAAATAATTCATTTTTGAACTGCGGTTGTAGATGAAAGTGAAGAATGATCATCGCAGTAAATTTTCCAATTTAAGCAATGGGAAGAAGAAGCCTCAAAAAAAAATCAGGGCTTCAACGGGATTCGAACCCGTGACCTCCGCGTTGCCGGTGCGTTGCTCTACCAACTGAGCTATGAAGCCACACATTGGTAGCGAGGTCAATTTATTGAGTTCATATCTCCCGTGAGGAGTGAAATGAAAATGGACTCCCTTGTTAACGACAAACAGACCTACGAAGTACTTATACGAGACCCGACACCCGCACTGCAACGCAAACTTAACAACAAACTGCTTACACTGAAGAAAACCGCAAGATCGAGTTTTGACGCTACAGCAGACTGAGGTGTAGTGTTCCGCAGCCACCCAAGCTGTATGGACTACCAAAACTACACAAACCCAACATACCTATGCGGCCCATAGTTTCTTTCACTGGGTCCCCAACCTACCAATGTCTAAATACTCAACTAACGTACTGAAACCGCTGACTGACGAATCTAGACAAAAACTAGAGTCTACTGAAAACTTTATTGACGCCATTAAGAAAATACAGATACCGGACGACCACAAACTAGTGTCCTTTGACGTAAAATCGCTGTTCACCAGTATTCCTCTTCAACTGGCTCTAGACTGTACTGAGAACGCTATTAAGAACTCTACTGAGAAAGGTTTAAATCCAGGGGTCATTTCTAAAGTAGGTTTAGGTAAGAACTCTACTGTTGAACTACCACTACCTACAGACGTCATTATGGACCTACACAACCTCTGTTTGACCAGGGGCACCCAACGAGGATATAGTTTAAAACCACTTAACATAGCATTGTTGAACGTATTTTAGTATTTAATCGGTAGATATAGGCATATTTTTTTCCCCTAAAAACTTTTCATCTGTTCGGATTTCCTAGCTGAAAGTCTAGTGATCCGAAAGTTATAGGGATCAAAACTTACCTTTTCGAAACTTTCAGCCAGGAAAAGGCTCCCGAAATTTCTAGGTGGCCTTTTTTAGGGTAAATATCCGTTTAAAATGGGTAATTATACCATTTTGTAGATGTTCGAAAATCCTAGGAGAGGCAGGCAAGCAAGAAATTGTACAACAAATGTTCCGAAAATTCTAGTTCTCCAATCGTCTTCCGAACAGATATTTTCCCGAAAATTGCCGTTGGGTGCCCCTGTTTGACTTCGACGTATTTTCAGTACAACGGCAAACACTACAAACAGTTACACGGTACAGCTATGGGCTCTCCAGTTTCTGTTGTTGTAGCAGAAATTGTNGCACCCAACGAGGATATAGTTTAAAACCACTTAACATAGCATTGTTGAACGTATTTTAGTATTTAATCGGTAGATATAGGCATATTTTTTTCCCCTAAAAACTTTTCATCTGTTCGGATTTCCTAGCTGAAAGTCTAGTGATCCGAAAGTTATAGGGATCAAAACTTACCTTTTCGAAACTTTCAGCCAGGAAAAGGCTCCCGAAATTTCTAGGTGGCCTTTTTTAGGGTAAATATCCGTTTAAAATGGGTAATTATACCATTTTGTAGATGTTCGAAAATCCTAGGAGAGGCAGGCAAGCAAGAAATTGTACAACAAATGTTCCGAAAATTCTAGTTCTCCAATCGTCTTCCGAACAGATATTTTCCCGAAAATTGCCGTTGGGTGCCCCTGTTTGACTTCGACGTATTTTCAGTACAACGGCAAACACTACAAACAGTTACACGGTACAGCTATGGGCTCTCCAGTTTCTGTTGTTGTAGCAGAAATTGTCATGCAAAACATCGTGGGAAAGCCCTAGCTACCTACACGCGAACTGTATCTCTCTGGTTACGTTACGTTGACGACACATTCACCGCCGTACACAAAGACGGAATCGACGATTTTCACGCGGATATACAGTTCACCAAGCAGATCGAAGAAAATGGTAAGATACCTTTTCTAGACTGCTTGGTCACTCGCGACAACAACAAACTAAAAACGACTATGTACAGAAAACCAACACATGCCGACCGATTACTAGACCAGTCTTCGTACAACCCGACCTCTCACAAGGCTACTACTATCAGGACTCTGACGAGACGAGCGCAAGTAGTTTGCGACTCACCTGACAGCCTGTAAGACGAGACTGATTATCTTAACAACGTTTTTAGTAAGAACAATTACAACACGGGCTTTGTTAGACGGGACACTCACAGTAACACTGATTCCAAGGATCAGACCAACTCTGGCCCTGTTACGACAGCGACTACACCGTACATCAGAGGCACCTCTGAAACTATTGCACGTATATTACAACCTTACAATATACGTGTTGCACAAAAACCGATAACCACTTTACGGCGACTGCTTACTAATGTCAAGGACAAAGACAAACTGGAGGACAGACAGGGAGCAGTATACAAGATCAAATGCTGCGACTGCCATGCTTCTTACATTGGTGAAACCGGCAGAAAGCTAGGCACGCGACTGACCGAACACAAGCGAGCGACGAGCAATGGTGACGTCAACAATCACATTGCTGAGCACCATTTAAAGACGAAACATCAAATTTACTGGGACTCTGCGAGATGTATAACGTATTCTACAGACTACTATCAACGTCTTACTTTAGAAAGCTGGTTTACTAACTTAGAACAAACGCCACTGAATCGTAGCCAACAGTTACCAGCGCCGTACAAACGACTTATTGACGAGATCAAGCAAAACTAACTACGAGAGAACGACTGGAGAACTGACAATTTGACTAACAATAGACGACTGTTTAACTGTGACAATAGACGGATCGAAACGCACCAATTACCAGTATAGGCAATTAATTGATCAGCCAACACGTATAACACAGCTCACATCATCTATTATTGATTTGTTTTTAACTAATCATCCGTGGAATATTCGGACTCCGGAGTCACCGATATCGGAATCAGTGATCACTGTCTGGTGTATGCAATAAGAAAGATTTGTATCCCCAAATCAAACCCAAAGACTGTAACGAGCAGATGCTTTAAGAATTTCATTCCAGATAGTTTTCGAACTGATTTATCTATGGTCCCGTGGCATCTCATTGAACAGGAGCATAATCCTGACATTGCTTGGGATATATGGCAACATATGTTCTTAGACATTGCTGATAGCCATGCACCACTAAAGAAGAAGAGAGTGAAAGGAATCTCTTCCCCCTGGATTACTCCAGAGCTAAAAAGGCTAATGTTTCAGAGAGACAAACTCAAAAAATTAGCCTCAAGGTTCCCAACAGATGGCAATTGGACTTCTTACAAACACATGAAGAATAAGGTTAATTATGAAATTAAGAATGCTAAAATGAACTATTACAATGCCTTCTTCAAAGATAACCGCAGAAACATAAAGAATACTTGGAAAGGAATTAATAGACTAATTGGAAATGAACCTAAATTTAATAAGATAACTCAGCTGGACACTGGGGATACTGTAAATACTGACCCCATCGAAATCAGTAATATACTCAACACACATTTCTCCAAAATAGGACCTTCCTTAGCCTCTCAAATTAAAGATACATCCAGTAATTTTACTGATTATGTTACCCCCGCAGAACACATTTTTAATTTGGCAAAAGTATCATGCCAGGAGGTCTTCAATTTAATTCAGAAAATACCGAGTAATAAAGCCAGTGGTCTTGATAACATCTCAGCACGTCTCCTGAAAGAAGCGTCTCCCATAGTTACTCGCAGTCTAACTTTTATAATAAATCAGTCAATTACCACTGGAATATTTCCAAATGCTTGGAAACGAGCTAGAGTTTCGCCAATATTTAAAGAAGACCTCAGGACTGATCCTAACAACTACAGACCTATCTCAGTTCTGCCTGTAGTAAGTAAATTAATTGAAAGAGTTGTTTTTAATCAATTATATGAATATTTAAATAATAATAACTTGTTAACTGAATCACAATCTGGCTTCAGACCTATGTTTTCCACTGAAACAGCTTTACTTGAGGCTACGAATGAATGGCTATGGAATATTGACGACAGTCTCTTAAATGGTGTGATATTCCTGGACTTGAAAAAAGCTTTTGATACCATGGATCATGCTATCCTTCTGGGAAAGCTTAAACTCTATGGGGTCAGTTCTCAATCCCTTAACTGGTTCCAGTCCTATCTATCTGACCGAAAGCAACAAACGTTCATTGATGGAGTTCAATCTGATTTCTGTAATATAACATGTGGTATTCCACAGGGGTCTATTTTAGGCCCTCTCTTATTCACTATTTATATTAATGATCTCCCTTCATGTAATTTGTTTTCAAAACCCAGAATGTATGCAGATGATACTACCCTTACCACATCTGCAGAAGACCCATGTGTCCTTGAACATAAAATGAATTATGATATGAATTTAATCCAGTCATGGCTGTCAGCAAACAAATTAACTTTAAATGTTAAGAAGACTAAATACATGCTTATAGGGAGCCAATTTAAGTTATCCCAAATAAACAGTGACTTCACAGTCAAAGTCAATAATACACCCTTAGAAAGAGTAATTAAACATAAATCCCTTGGAGTTCAAACTGATGAATCTTTGAACTGGCGCCCACACATTCATACCATTTCAAAGAAAATATCCGCTGGTATTGCTATCTTAAGGCGTGTAAGTCATTTTATACCATTTGATACTAGAGTGAATATGTACAATGCACTGGTAATGCCATATTTTAATTACTGTGGTGCCGTATGGGGTAATATCAATAAGGGACTAGCAGACAAACTTCAAAAGCTGCAGAATAGGGCTGCTAGAATTCTCACCTTTTCTAACTATGACGTTCGCTCAAGTGTTTTGTTGGATGAGCTCGGCTGGGAAAGGCTAGAATATGTAAGACTTAAACAGTTGGCTGTGACAATGTATAAAGTCCATAATAATCTTTCCCCATCGTATCTGAGGCGGATCTTTACCAACACCTCAAATGTACATTCACACAATCTTAGAAATTCTGAGTTAAATTATTATGTCCCTAGACCCAGAACTGAGTCTGCAAAAGGGAGCCTACACTACAGACGATCTGTTCTATGGAACAAGATTCCCTCAGAGATTAGAAAACTGCCTAGTTTAAATGTTTTTAAAACTTCAATTCAAGGGAAAGATTTTTCTAATACACCATGACCCATTGTAACTCTTATTATTCATAATGTAAGTTTTTGTATTTTTAACATTATAGTCAAACATTCCTTAAAGTATTTTAGTCTAGTTTTAAACACGATTCCTAGGAAGACCATGTAAAATGATACGATTTCGTGTATAAATAAAGATTGATTGATTGATTGATTGATAACGAGTCTTCATAGCCAATAACATCACGGCTTAACTGACAGACGACCAATAACATCGCGACGTAATTGACCAATCAGATCAATAACCAGAGTAAAATACCATCAACTGACGTGATACAACTCACTTTGACTCTGAAGATGACTACTGCACAGGTTTTCGAAACGTCAGTCACTTTCAACAACAATCCTATTCAGGACTACGTTCACCCGAACGATCAAACTCAACCTACTTTTGAAATGACTCCTGGGTTCAAACCTTTCACAATAAAAATAATGATAAAAACTGGCAGTTTTATAATTTTCAGAAATGATTTTGGTTTCTGGAAAAAGAAATCAATAAAGCAAGTTTTTCAATTCTAACCTTTTCAGCCTGTCAACAAATTCATAACAGTATTCATTATTAATTTGTTTTTTGTTTCCTTTTCTTGTTAAAACTGAAGTTGATGAATTGACAATACATTTCGTATGTAACGTATACCAGGATACCAATGTTTTTTTTTTAATCATGTTAATTCCAAAATGAAAATCGTTTCTTGACTATTGTATTTTTTGAAAATAAAGAATTGCTGACTGACCAAAATCATTTTATAGTGACGGTTAAGAGGAGGGTAAGATCAGGAGTAGGACAAGTTTTTGTTACATAACTATCGCCTGAAAACCGTGATTGTCGTTGAGCTTTGCAGCGACTTTAAAGTCCGAAATCACGGCGAACAATCCGTATACCCGTCCGTCAAATGCAGTTCCTTAAAAGCTACAGTGGACTTCACGTCAGCAGCTCAGACGTCGACGAGCTTTTTAAGCAGTGGAAATCAGGTTGAAATTGAACTCTGACATTGTTAAGTCAAAAGTTGTCAGTAAATTGTCCGTCCTGACAGACCGACAGAAATTTTTGCATTCGTTTACCGAAGAGAGGATTTTTAAAATTTGAATAAAGACTTCAACTTGATGATGGTGACTAATAGAATAGAACAAAATAGGGTAAACGTGACATCACTTGATGCTCCGCAACACCAAGAAACCACCAGGAAAAGAGAAAAAAAGCATTGCTTTCACACGAGACGAAAAAACGGATTTACCGAACGTCAAAGGTGAAGTCAAACGCGCGATAAAGGCCACCTTTGCACACCTTTGTACATCTTTGACGCGCGACAAATGTTTACCTTTGCCCGCCGTCAAAGGCGAGTCTTCAGGCGATAAAGGCCGTTTTTGTCACGCCTTTAACCCCTACCTTCGACGAAGGTATATTTCATTAGCATTTGTAACCCTACCAAAGGCGTCGTCAAATATGTCCTAGATTCAGGCCAAAGGTGTGACAAAAGCGCGGCAAAGTTATGTCTGTGATTAAAGTCAAAGGCGTGAAAAGTGTCGTCAAATGTGTCTGAGCCTCAGGTCAATTGTGTGACAAAGTTGTCGTCAAATGCGTCTGCGATTTACGTCAAAGGTTTAATAATAAATTAATACCATTTGAACAAGTTTGTGGTCCAAACTCTATCAAAGATGAGGGTGAAAATATTTGTTAACAAAAGGTGGACTGCTTCGTACAAAAAAGCAGCTTTTTTTTCTTCAGATCTGCGTTGTTTGTTAGTTTGCGCGGGTGGAGAGAGAGTTTGCAGCCGCGACAATTTCGCGCCAAAAACAGAGTGTCTTGCTTGGGTTCAGTCTTCCATCGTCCAATTGTTGAGTCATTGTTTTGCGTCGCTATCATTACATCGTATATTGATCGATCAAGGGGAAAATGATCCACTCAACATAAGACAAAAAAACATTTCACTTCGAAAAAGTGCATATTCCAGAACATTTACAAAAATAATTGTAAAACAGCAATTACCATGATTACCAGCCCGTGTTCGGTATTGTCGTATAAATATCTTTAAAACAGTATTCAAATACAGCTTATTAATTTCCTTTCTTAATATCAATTTCGACATAAATGTTTGTAGAAGTAATTCATTGCACATTTGCTCTCAACTTTGACATCATTCAAAAGTGTAGCGTTCGTATTTGACTTCATTTTTGACTAGTATCAAAGGTGCGGTCACAGCCACTACACTTTTGACTTCATCTTTGACGTGCGTCAATGGCAAAGTCAAAGTTATCAGCATATTTGACAACGCCTTTGATAAGGGTTAAAGGAATATCAAAGCATTGACGCATTTGACTTCATCTTTGACACGCGTCAAAGGATAAGTCAAAGTTGTTACCAATTTGACTTCACCTTTACCTAGGTCAAAGGAGTAAGCAAAGAGGTTATATATTTGGCGACATCTTTGA